ATTCATTACCAATCCATCTGTCTTCCCTTGCAGTAGTTTTCCTAGGCCTGCCAAGTGGTTTCTTGGCTTCACATGACTCAGTTTCATCAAGTTTTCTTAAAATACTATGAATAAGACTTAGATTTCTCCAGTCTTTGAAATATCCCCAATTGAGGGTTTATCTTCATTATATAACTTGACAATCAGTTTTCTAAGTTCTACTGACCACACAGTTTTTTTTCGCCATGTTTACAATGCAAGAGCCAATGAAGAGCTGGTGTAATTTAGTAAAATACCCTATTTTATATTCTTACCCTAAAAAATTTTCAATAATGCAAAATAATTATTAAATTTTATGGATTTATTTAATCGTTCTTATATTTTTGATCATCTGTTTTTTTTCGTATGTTATGTAATTATTCTTATAACTTTATCAAAATAAGTTTATTGAGCTTTATATTTTGGAATTATATAATTTACCTTTATATCCTTATTTTTCCTTGATAAAATGTTCTATAAAGCTTTAAAATAAAAAGTTATTTCACATTTAGACTTTTATTTAACATCGTTCTGATTTTTATGCTCACTACTGTATATACACATATATATATATATATATATATATATATATATATATATATATATATATGTATGTGTAGAAGCAGGGATGTAAATAAGTATCAGCTACATGTTGCTAAAATTCTTTTCATAATAAATCATTATTTTCAAGTAATATATGCATATATAGAGCAACAAATTTAAAGAGATAACCTTACGCATCAACATACATATAAATGAATACAATGGCATCTATCAATTCATGTGACAATCATTCAATTTACTTGAGATTGGAACAAATGTTTTAATGTTTCCTTTTATTTATTTTTACTTCCATTTGTCCATTTACTCTTGTAAATGCAAGTGGCAGAAATGAATGAAGCTGAACAAAAAGGAATACGCTCAAGATAAGTTATCTCCCTTCATACCCCTCTTTAAGAAATAAGAAAAAAAGAAACAGAAAAAGACTCTGCTCTATGACACAAACAAGCTGGTCATCTCCAGATGAATAACCTTTCTGAACTTGAGACAACTCATGAAGTATAAAAGCATTTTGACAAAGACATATTCAAATCCAACATTTCATGCAGGTCATTCCATTAAATAAAAGCTTTTCCAGGAATTACTTTGCTGACTAACATATTTGAAGCATCAGTTAAGCAAATTGGAATTTGGATATAACTGTAACATAAACATGCAATTTTTTTCCTGTTTTTTTTTAAAAAAAAACAAAAAAAAAAACATATAAAAACCAACATAATTTGTGACTTGCTGAGCAATATCTTGTTTTATGCAGACTGTGGAGCAAAAGATTATTTTTTTTGTTGCTCAATTGAAATATTTAGAGACAAGAATCACTGGAATGGCCATAAATTAAGCAATTATGTTGAATACGTTTTATTGTTAAAAGAAATATAAGTGTTTAATATATCAACAGATAAATATCATAGATCAATGGCTGCATATGATCAATATTAGTTCTGCGGCTTTCAAATTAAAAGTTATTTTGCACTGACAAAATGGAAAATCCATAATGAAACAATAAAGCTACTTGTGTAGAATTTTCACAAAAATATCAATTTCCATTCAAAAGTTATGATAGCTTTTCCTTCTTTATAAACACACATTTTCATTTGTAAACAAAAAACAAATCAATAACAAACATAATCTATAAATTAATAAAAATGGCATTTTCAAGGTGTTCATTTGTGTTCCCAGTAAATGATTATACAACAAAGTCAACTTATTTAATTATGTTTGCAAATAATTTATAATTATAATAATTATTTCACAAAATCCAAGAGTAATCAGAAATAACATTTATGATAAGTAAAATAAATTTTAATCCATTTTATCTAAATAAAAATTTTTAAATTCCCAATGAAAGAGAACTACCATCTCAGTATTTTAATCCCTTAATTGTAGAAATAGAAAAAAAAATCTTTCATTCCATTCAATAAGTAATCATAGCACAAATTATGGACACCTTCATAAATTTAAATATAATCATCAACATATTAATTTTACACAAATAGCAATTATTACAAAGATACATTATTTGTTCACAAATACTTCATAATGCACCACCAAAAACTACATTTTTCAGAATTCTTCAATTCAGAAAATAAAAAGATTTCTACTGTTTCTAATCAGTTATGAAAACATTTTAAAAGCAGCCATCATTTTTTTTTCCATCATAAAGAATTTAAAATCTAAAGTTAACAAACACAAAAGATATAAACCTTTTCTTAGGGCCACTTCCCAAAAAAGAAATTCCCTTAAGATAATTTCAATTCTGGTTTTCTCACTTCTTATTAAAATTCACGTGAAACCAACTATGTTATTTCAAGGTTAACAAAAGAGACAGCAAACTGTGACAGAGCAAAAACTTCTATAACCAGCAAAAGATCATCTGCCAAGCTTAATACAAAATTTAAATAAAACTTTAAATTTTATATAATACCAAAGATTTCTCCTAAAATAAAAATAAGATGAAAACAATTCCCTGCCATTGAATGCATCAAAAAATGTCAAACTGAGTAAGCAAGGAATCCATTTTGGTCACACTGTTGTTCTCCAATCATATTTACTTCAAGTGCTGATGACAGTCATAGCCACACCACTTAAATGGCCAACCAACAATGGCAGTGAAAAATAATTCAGTTTCCAGGATAAAGAGAGCAAACAAAAGAAAGAAAGCACAAGCTTGAGAGCAACTGCATAAAACAGTGTGCAAATGGTACAGGCCATGTATATAATTATTACATGCCATATCAAGAAGATGCAAGTTTATGAGATGTTGATAGAAAGTGTGGACCTGGTCAAGCTTGACATGATCAACATAATAGATAGTTAGGCTGAGATTGTAAGGAAAACTAATCACAATGCTCATCAAACAAGCCCAAGTGGCATTCTTCTAAAGCTAGCATTAATCATGTTCTAAGGAGGACTCAATAAGATCTGCAGAACAACTGGAACCAGACACAAACACAATGGCAAAATGCAATATTATTTCATCAGCTGGAATGATAGCAGTTCTAATAATGATAAACATAGAGGTAAAATGAATTTGTGCATTTGATGGCTAATAAGACACCAACCTATTTATATTTCATATTACATGGAATATTAGTGAATTAGTCAAGATAAGGATACTGGAAATCATTAGCAGACCACATACATCAACTTTATATATAGTACCCAGAATTTCTGAATTCATATTGGGGTGACAAGGGAAATGGACCTTACAAGCTATGAAATATGTTAGAAACAATTTAGAATTAGAAAATTTCTGATTTATTTATCCATTTTTATGTGTATTAAAAATCTCTTTTTAAAGTATTTGAAACACAAAAGCCATATATATTTAAAAAAAATGAACATATAAACTTTATATATAATTATGTATTTGTCCAGCAATCCCTCTTTTATACAGGTTTAATTGCGGATGACTGTAGAAGGCACTGTAATTAATCTTTCTGTTATATTTTTCTTGCATTATTACATGCGATTTCATTTTCTGTCCAAATGACATGTGGATCCAAGCATTTTCAGCTAATTTACTTGTTATTATCAAGGATGTTTTTTGTTTATCTGGATATGTAGTCTTTTTGGGTTTTTTTATAGCAATAATAATGTTTTAATTTTCAAACACAGTCAGCAAGTTATGGCTGTGTTCATAATTGATATTATTGTGAACTGCTTTCTTCTGCTTTATTGTTAACACTTCCATTATTTTAACTATTTTCAGTATATATAACAACACACAAATGAACTGAAATGAAATATTTTGTAACCATTGGAATCAGAGATTTTTCAATCAAAGGACATTAAAAATAGAACAATACTGTTTAAATACATGTGGAAACAGAAGGGAAAATGTGACAATGTCAGAGATGAAGAAGAAATTTGTAAAGCTTTGTAATTACTTTGTTTCATATGAATACAATCAAAAATTTTTCTTAAGGGAAACTGAGCTTTGCTTTGATGTAAGGCTCTCCATGGCTGAAATGGTAATGGCACTCCTAGCTAAGGAGGTTTCTCAGAAAAAGAGATTGCAGGTGCTATGACAGAAATATTTTTTAGCAAGACTTTCAATGATCGAGGCTGGTAGACATTAATTTCACTGTAAATAAACAGGGATGTCTACTCAAACACATGTATCCACTAAAATAATATTTGCAGTAATAAGAAAAAATGTTAGATTGAAAAAGATTGCTTAAGAAATTGCTTAAATTTCTTTGTATACATTTCTGGTACAAGAATATAAGTTAGCAGATATAAACACTGAAATGTTCCAACGAGCGACAAAGATTCCTACAAATAGGTAATTGGACTTTGCCTTGTTATCAGGTCCTCCATGGCTGAAAAGGATTCTTTGTATACATTTCTGGTACAAGAACATAAGTTCGCAGATATAGACACAGAAAAGTTCCAACAAGAGTCATCCATTTCTTAAAAATGGGTAATTGAGCATTCTTCCATGTCTGAAACAGTAATTACACACCTAAGCAAGGCTTTTTACCTCAGCTATGAGTTTAAATCAAAATTCTACAACATTCTAAACAAAAAACCTACAAAAATTCATAATCCTTTTAAACCTTCATAAGGCACTTTTAGAAGCTTTCATCTTATGAGAAAACTGTTGCAGGAATTGAAGAGTGGTCTAAGGATATGAGAAGAAAACTTCTATTGTAGAGATTTCTTGATGTATAAAAAACCTGTTTCAAAGGAACGTTACTGCCTGAATAAATATTTTGCTTCTACAGCAGAAGAAAGAACAAAGTTAGCTTGATAAATGCAGACTTACCGGCTTGTGGTATGATGACGATGCATCGAGCTGTCTGAGTCAACTGTTTGAGAGAGGGTAGAGCATCACACAGTGCAGATGTATGTGCTACTAAGTATGGGGGAAAGATGGGCTGATCACTTTCCAGTGAACCTTCCAGTTGAGACACCTCAGCCTGAAAAAAAAAGACAGAATTGTAATCATTAAGCTGGACAATCATAAAATGGAAGCGACAAGTCTGGAGACATAGGGAAGGAGTCTCAGGAGAAGGAGATAACCAGTCCATGTCTGAAAAGATGGGAACATTCACAGCTATGAGTGAAGCTTGACTAAATGGAAGATGACTGATGCAAGACTTTACGCATTCTAAAATGAAGTACAACAGACAGCATGGAGCCATTGGCTGAAATGAGGAAAGAAAATGGGCAGAGCCTTTTGTTTGACTGGTCAGTGTTAGGTTTACAAACTTTTTCTGCTGAACAACGCAGACTGGAATTTACAGGCTAATTAGGTAATACTGACTTGATAACTGCAAAAATATGTTGATAACTGTTGATAACTTCAAAAATATGTTGAAGATACATACAAATACAAAGACACACACAAGTTACCTATCTTAGAGACCCAGTGATTAAGCTAGTGTTTTCAGTATATGGTGAGTAGGTTTAACCCTCACAGACTGAAATATTATAGTCAGTTCAATATGTAAGAACTATACCAGTACACAACTGTTTATATATAGGAATTTAAGAATTGATATATCACAATATATATCATATGTCAGTGGTTGGAATTTAAACTTAAAAAAAATAAATATAAAATAGTTTGTTTTTTTTTTATGGCTTACCAACCCTTTGTGAATTATTTAAAGACAAAACATATTTTTGGATTGTAATTCTTTTTTTGATTTTTTTTGGTGAGTGAATATTGCATTGATAATTTTTTGTTAATGACAATGATTTCCCTTATATGGGTCCTACTATTTAATCTATAACTGGATGGATTCATATCTTTCATAAGTGAATGTAATGAATCTGACCAGAATTCAAACTTGGCACTCCAATTTCTCATTCCAAGATGCTATCTACACATTCTCAAGTATTTATATATATATATATATATATATATATATATAATAAAGATTGCATTGAAGCATGAAAGAGACTGTTGCTGCTATCAGGTTCATGTTGCAATGCTTAGTCTAAAGATTGCATTGACAATCACCATGCAGCGTTGATTTCCATGTCCACAATGTCTATACCTATAAATGCTCCTTCTCAATCTATGTGTTAAGTTGAATAAGAATCCAATTAAATGGAAATAGATAAGACAATTTTCCAAAAAATTGACCTTGACATATCAAGATTAAAAATTTATAAATATAAATGTTTGCACATGCACAAAGAGGGGAGGGTGCCTCCAAAAAAATGAATAGCCCAACCAACCACCTCTTCCTCATAAAAAAATCAGAGTTATAGAAAGTGCGTTAGGTAGAGAACTTTTCAGTGTGTGCATGTATGTGTATATATATATATATATATATATATATATATAGTGATTTTCCCAGCTTAGATGAGGCACGAGGTAGAAAGTATGGGGCACCCAGTGAGGATCGAACTCACTACTCAGTCGTAATTGTTCTAGTGAGACAAATTTGCTAACCATTACACAGCCTTGAGGTGCCCTATATATATATATATGTGAGTGTGTGTGTGTGTGCACACACTGAGGGCTCACCAAGATTTCTTAAAAGCAAAGATTTTAAATTGGAAAATCACCTTGAGAAGGAAGCAATATGAAAACAGTACAATACTATACAGGAGCATGAGGATAAATATGGGGAAAATGCATGAGATGAGATGGAAATTTCTGAAAAAAACATTTGCTTGTATGGAAGGAGCCAAAAAGACGCAATATATGTTTGAATGAAAAATTAAATAGAGTTGTGCTTTTTGATCATAGAAGATTACTGAATAAAAATTTGGAAATGTGACATGAAAATAAATTTCTCTTCTGTTATCTATCCTTTGATTCAGTGAGTATCTGGATATTCATAGATGAACAATGAAACTGGTTTCTTAATTCAATTACCTGATGATCATTTCCTATCATGAAAGTTTTAGTTTTTGGTTTTCTTTTTCTGGATTTACCATTGCTAAAATACTGCCAAGCAATCATCTATCTCTCTCTCTCATATACACACACACACATATATATATATATATATATATATATATATATATATACATACATACACACACACACACACAAAAGAATTGCTAAAATATTTAAGTTTCAACCCACTTAACAGAAGCTGACCAAATACCAAAGGAAACATTTCTTGGTCACACTGAGAGCATTTTACCACATCTTCATGCATATAAATACATATAACTCAAGAAACTGTTTATCTTGTCAGATAATGGGTAGCACCTTCCCTGGTCAAGATAACCTAGTGCTGAGACTAGGAGTGAGATCTCTTCAGAGCAGAGGCCAGGGTGATATTGTATTACTCCTGTGGGAATGGAGAAAACCATGTCTTACCACAAAAAAGAATTTGAATTCTTAAAACTATTTGTTGAAAAATAAATCTGAATAAACATTGGGTCAATTTTAGTAAGCCATGAAAAATGGTAATAGTTTGCACTTCCCTATCAGTCTCAACCAATGACAAACTTTCTTACTCTGATGAAAGAATGCTACTTTGGACCACAGGATTGTTTTGGCTCTTTCTAGGTAAAGACATTGGACTTGGGAGACTGAATTATGACCTCAGACTAATGATATTTTTTCGATCTGAACCTCCCTGTTGCTACTTACCACAAATCTATAGCCTTTTCCATGTTTGAATATAAGCACAAGGCAACAAAAGTTTAAATTCAGAGCTTTCCTTCTTCTCAAAGAAAGAAAGTCCAGTCTGCACTACTATTTAAACCATAGCTGGAGAAAAATAAATTCAGGCCTTTCTCAAGAATGAAAAAATGTAGAAAGAATTTGAATTGCTGGTAACCACTAAACACACACACACACACACACACACACACACACACACACACACACACACACACACACACACACTTTCATAATTAGTTCAATGCAAGATCTCTTTGATTCATGAGATTTCCACAAGATTTTCATAACCCATTGAAAACATTACTTGTACAAAACCTTCTCAGTATAGAATATGCTTGCAACAGTTTGTCCATGTCTCAAAATAAGCATCTGTGAGGTGTGACAGCTTTAGGATGCCCAAACAAAATACTCTACAACTAAGATATACAAACTTATCTACAGCCTCCAATTGCTTCTCATTAAAGTCGATGGTGGGTGGATGGTATGGTCATCCAGGTGATAATTGAGGCATTACAACAGCCTTTCTTCATTCTAAAGGTTAACCCAAAGTCATCACATGTAGCCCATCAGGGTCTGCAAATCTGCCCTGATGTGAGCAAAAAGATCACAGAAGCATAAAAAATATTATAGATCAGATACATAAGAGTTTGAAATGACAAGAAATTAGTGAATATTGTACCATTTTTCTGTTGTTTAATAGTATACACACAGATACACACATTTATTTTTTATTCCTTCAAACATTATTTTTAGTGGCTATTTAAGTAGACACTGTTTTTTAAACAATGTTTACTTTTTCTATCATCCTGTGCACTTGAGAAAATGAAAATGTGCCCTTCAGCATGGCACATTTTCTTTATTAAGTTTTCTTGAGTATGCAGCTGATATACAAAAATATAACACTGTTTAAAAAAAAAGGAGTGTCTACTCAAATACAGGTATCTACTAAAAATAACATTCTGAGTACTCAGAAAAAGCCTTTGGTTGAATGATGATTTATAATTTTTTTCAAGAATGCCCAGCTTCAAAAGTGTAATTCAGAAAGTGTGCCCATTTAGAGTACTCTCCTCTTGAATCTGTCAAATTTTAAAGACTATATACACTATACAACAGTAAAGTTGGAAACAATACTGCAATTTTGGGGAATGTGTTTGATATCTTGTATGATTATTCAGCTGAGAAATACTTTCGCAAAGATTTTTGCAGCAACTGACAGCAGAGAGATCCCATGGTAATTATGTATTGAGATCATTTATGTACATATACAGTTTAGACTGCAATTCTTTATCTCTCAACAAAATTTGTGATTTATGTACTATTTTTATCATAAGAATTCCCTTTTTCTGACCCAAATTAACAAAGAAAGAATAATTTTTAAAATGACATTGCTTCAGATCTGGATATTTTTGTGTAACATCATACTGGTGATATATCTTGTCAGCTGCTCCAGAACAACCGTTTCACTGCCTTCCTCATGTATTCATGAGTTGCTTTGTATCACTGTCTGATTTACTAACAGAATAAGAAGAGCAAAAATATTACTTGTGAGGTATTTTATCTGCTTAGTGATAAAATCAAAAATATTAACCTGTACTTTTCTTTCCAGAAGAAAGCTTCAAGAAATTTTCACTTCTAAATTAGCCAAATCACACATCATATTTCTAGAATGAGTAAAAATTACAATAACAATAGAAAGTAATACATTTTCTTTTTTCAGAAAACAATATTACCACCTTGTCTTGCTATATCATTATTATATTCAATATAAAATACACTAATTCTGTCACTTTCTAATAAAATAACAGTCAAAATAAGTCAGTTTAAGTTTTGCTTTATAATACTAACCTAATAACATTGTAGATTCAAGTTTCTTAAATGAAGATTCTTTCAGACTTAACTTTTCTGTGTTTTTTATTATATTTCATCTGATTTACTTATACAGTAGTTCCTTCTTATCTGTGAGGGATATATTCAAAGACTCTGTACCATTCCTTGGCATTGTTTGCTGTCTCTACTGAACATGATATGTATTAAGATCTTTTTCTACACATACATGCTAACATTTAATTCATATATTAGCATTATAAAAGATCAACAATAAAACACAACAATTCTACCAATATATTGTAATAAAAATAATGTGATGGATAGAAGATTTGTTCTTATTGTAGATATTCACTGTCTCAGCAGACAATTTTTTTCTTGCCTTACTAAGAATTTTTACCATTTCATTTTAAAGCAAACATGGCAGCCCCTCTTTGTTATTTCTGATTAGCTAGTATCACTATTCTTGCACCAGAATACAATTATTAAGTAAAACTT